AACCCTATAATGCCAAATGTGTCATATCTGATCCGGTTTCTGAAGTCTTTTGGATCTGAGACTTTTTGCATCATTCAGTGGTAAAAGCTTTGCTCAAACCCCTGTTGTACACATTCAGATATACCTGATAACAGCCAGTAGAAGACTACACCAAAATACATTTTTGACTTATTGCACGCTCATTTGATCAAAATAATTTATATAATAATTTTTCTTCATATGTTGTTGAGGGGCCAAAGAAAGACTTTAGACAAAAAAAAATCAAATATTCTTCCTATTTTTCTTGGATCGGGCTTTAAAGGGTTAAGAATAGACTACACGAAAAACAATCTTGACTTATCGCATAGTGAAAAATTATTAATATAAAAAATGTATTTCTGTTTTTTCTTTTTACACATTTTGTTAAAAGGCCAAATAAAGACTTCAAACAAAAAAAAAAAGAAGTAATTTTCTGTTTCGTTTTATTCTTGAATCAGGCTTTAAAGGGTTAAAAATACTATTGGGAAAAAATTAACACATTTTTTTTTTTGTTGACTCAGTGTATTACTTTTTAGAGTGTGGCTGTAAGTTGTTCCAGTAACTGGAACTTCACACTTTGACTTATTCTGAGGATTTGTGGGTATTTAAAGGGTTAACACATGCACACACACACACACGCACACACACACACACACACACACTGGTCTGGGGTTTGAGCTCTTACCGCGATCACCAGTCCGATGGTCTCCGAGAGAGTCGCGCAAAAGATGAGGGACGCGCAGAAAACCCCGAAACACCTCTGCATCTGAGAGCCAGATCACAGAGCTCCAGGTTAACCCAAAACATCCTGAACTTTTGGAACCCCCGTGTTCCTGCTCTGTTGCCGTCATAACTTCTACCATCATCATTAGTATTAATATCATTGCCATTTTTTATCTAGTCTACGTGTTGGCTGCCTCTCTCTGTTCCCTCTCTCTCTCTCTCTCTCTCTCTCTCTCTCTCTCTCTCTCTCTTTCCCCTCCCCCCCAACCGGCCGAGGCAGATGGCCGCCCACCCTGAGCCATGGTTCTGCTCCAGGTTTCTGCCTGTTAAAAGGAAGTTTTTCCTTGCCTGTGTCGCCTAGTGCTTGCTCATGGTGGGAATTGTTGGGTTTCTGTAATTAACTTCAGAGTAGGGTCTGACCTGCTCTGGTTGGAAAAGCGCTGTGAGACAACTGTTGTTGTGATGTGGCGCTAAATAAATAAAATTGAATTGAATTGAATTTAACGTTTCCCCCCTAATTTGGAATAAAGTTCCCCAAAAGGAGCAGTAGTTACCTTTGATTCCGGCCGTCTGCAGCTCTCAGAAGTGATGAGACGTGATGTGATGTGATGCTTTTCTGATCTGGATGAGAGGAGGACTCCATCCAGCTTTTATTGCCCGCCTGGTGCCGTAATCAACCCCCCCCTTCCTCCTCCTCCTCCTCTTCCTCCTCCTCCTCCTCTTCCTCCTCCTCCCCTCCGTCAGGATTGGGCAGGTCACGAACAGAAGGCATAATAAAACTCAATGGGATCACATAATGGCACCCTCACATTTCTCCTTGTCGCCTCCAGAGAACTGGGATTGAATTTAAAAGAGAAAAAACACATGTGCGTTATCATTTTTTTTGTGTGTTTTTTTTCTTTTTTTTTTCTCCCTCCTGATCCGATAAGTGACTGTAAGCAGCTTCTTACCGGCTGTGAGGGAGCAGGAGCTCCATAAAAAACATAAAACATGTTCCTATCAATGACCCGGATCGATCTTTGTGTGGTTTAGTCTCCTAGGAAAAAACAGGAAAATGCCCTTATTATAGGAAAAGGGCTCAGTCTAAATTTTGCAGAAATCAACTTAATTATTACGTTCATGTTACTTAGAACTGTGATTTATTTTGGCCAAAAAGCTTCTTCACCTTATTTAAAACATTATGTTGGATCAACTTAAATACTTGCATCTATATTGAGTATTATTAAGTTCATGTTGCTTAGAAATGCGTTTTATTGTGGCTTAAAAGGTAATTCAGCATACTCAAATCATTATGTTGTATCAATGTAATTCTGCCAGCTGTTGCCTTAACTCCTTTTACATAATTTAATGGTAAAAAACTTTCCTCAAAATCCTATTGTACACAATCAGATACACCTGATAACAGAAGACTACACAAAAAATAATCTTGATTTATCGCATAGTAATAAATGATTAATATTAAAAATGTATTTCTGTTTTTTCTTTTTACATATTTTGTTAAAACGCCAAATAAGGAATTAAAACAAACTGTTCACACTGTTTTGTTTTATTCTTGGATCAGGCTTTAAAGGGTTAAAAATACTAGTGGAAAACGTGAACATATTTTATTTTGTTGACTCAGTGTAGTACTTTTTAGAGTAAGTTTCCTCCTTTTTTCCAGTAACTGAGCAGCACACGTCGACTTATTCTACGGATTTTTAGGTCAATCCGCGTAGAGGTTTTAGACCAAATCAAAAAACAAGGGAGGTTTTTATTTCCTGGCCCTGTTTTATTGATAATTTATCCGTTCTAGCCTAATTTGAGAGCTGCGTAATGCAACCTGTGGACCCTCTGATTCCCTATAAAACCTCAGAGACCTTCTGTGGTCTGCAGGAACCATTAGAACCCAAAGATAAAACAAAAAAACAAACAAAAACAGGCCAGAAAAACGACATATGATCATTTAAACAGACGACAAAAAGGTGACACGTCTACTTTTTGAAGCCCGTTTAGAGGCTAACGGGGGCTCGAACCCGATGAGGGACACATATCAGTTCTAATCACATTCTGTAATTCTGTTCCTGGTTTTCATCTCTTAAAAAAAAAAAGCTAACATATAAGCATATTTACACCAAATTACAGAGCAGCCTGAGACAGGTTGGGTGCTTTATTAGATCAGATCAAAGCCTGGCGGGCACAGTTTTCTCTTTAGGGAGAAGCATTTTGCTTTAATTGTGTAAAGATATTCTTTTTCCTTCATATTAACGTGCATATTTACTAAATGAGACCAACACAATATTGACATCTGCCCTGTAGCCCCATACTTGTAAAAGGTGGATATTGGGAGAGGAGGTTGGGTGGACCATTAGTTAAGAAATAAAATGATAAATTAATAAGTAAAGTGGATTTCTGCCAAAGCTTTTTTTTCTTCGTCATCATGCTGTTGACGCATTTGATCGGAGGGCATTAAAAGAGTAAAGTAAAGAGACTAAAACATGGGAAGGACGAAGAAAAAATGGCCTCTCTGTGGAAGGAGAACTGTGTCCTCTTTGCAGGACACAGTTCCAGATGTTCCAGTTACATTTATACAACACCAGTTAACAGCAAATGCCATTTTAAGATGAAGAAAGAAAGAAGCAGGACAATTTCTGCCAGTTCAACCAAAATCCATCAAATAAGAACCAGAAAGAAACCTCCATCAGAACCAGAACCAGGATGAAACATCCAACAGAGCCAGAACCAGGATGAAACATCCATCAATAAAAGAACCAGAACAAGGAAGAAATCTCCACCAGAACCAGGAAGAAAGCTCCATCAGAGCCAGAACCAGGAAGAAATCTTCACCAGAACCAGAACCAGAAAAAAACTTCAATAGGACCAGATCCAGGAAGAAATCTCCACCAGAACCAGGAAGAAACCTCCATCAGGACCAGAACCAGGGAGAAATCTTCACCAGAACCAGAACAAGGAAGAAACATCCATCAGAGCCAGAACCAGGAAGAAACCTCCACTGGGACCAAAAAGAAACATCCATCAGGACCAGAACCAGGAAGAAACCTCCCTCAGAACCAGAACCAGGAAGAAACTTCAATAGGAACAGAACCAGGAAGAAACCTCCATCAGAGCAAGAACCAGAACCAGGAAGAAATCTCCACCAGAACCAGGAAGAAACCTTCAATAGGACCAGAACCAAGAAGTACCTCCATCAGAACCAGAACCAGGAAGAAACCTCCATCAGAGCCAGAACCAGGAAGAAACCTCCATCAGAACCAGAGGGAAAACCTCCATCAAAGAAGAACCAGAACCAGGTAAAAACTTCCATCAGGACCAGAACCAGGAAGAAACCTACAAAAGAACCAGAACCAGGAAGAAACCTCCATCAAAGAAGAAGCAGAACCAGGAAGAAACCTCAATTGGGATCAGAACCAGGAAGAAATCTTCACCAGAACCAGAACCAGGAAAAAAACTTCAATAGGACCAGAACCAGGACGAAACCTCCATCAGGACCAGAACCAGGAAGAAACCTTCAATAGGACCAGAACCAAGAAGTACCTCCATCAGGACCAGAACCAGGAAGAAATCTTCACCAGAACCAGAAAAAAACCTTCAATAGGACCAGAACCAAGAAGAACCTCCATCATGATACACATCTGACTCACTGTACTTACTATATATTAATAACATCAATAATAACAATACTAATTATACTTTTGTATGACTCCGGGTTGGGAATGGGCAATAATATTACATGATTAATGTTGTGAAAATTACATTCTTTTACAGTGTAATTGTCACCTCCTGAACTCCAGCAGCCGAGTTCCTGTAATTAAGAACAAGGTTCAACAATAAAACCTCCTCCTCCTCCTGGTTTGCTCTGGGAAACAGCATTATAGGCTCAGGCTTTGAAATTATTATCCTGTCTATGTGTACAAGAAAATTCAAATGCTTTGCAAAGAGTTTAAAAGCAGAAAATAAAGATAAAGAAAATGAAACAACAAATTAAATCAAATAGATTAAATGTTCATCTGTGCAGTTAAACATCTGTTTTCAGTCTGGATTTAAACATTATGACTTTCTCTCTTCTTCAGGAAGATTGTTCCAGGTTTTAGGAGCAATAAATAAAAAATAAGGTGGATTCGGGGAAACAAAATTTACTCCTGAAGACTTTTCCTCATTTTCCAGAATTGTATTTATTCCATTTTTATTCATTTATGATCTTTTTATCTATGATGTGTTAATGACTTTGGATGTTTTATTATGTTTCAATGTTGTTTTAATGACGATCGTCTTTGTAAAGTGTCCTTAAGTGGCATGAAAGGTGATTTTTAAAAATAAAATGTATTATTATTATGATTAAAATATGGAGTATATATTCACATTCTGGGATTCTGATAGCTCAAACTCTGTACAGTTCTCTGTGGGAGAGAGTATTTGATTTGGTTGGATTACAACTGGTTTTAATTTATCTGCCTCAGGAAATAACGTTTACTATGATTTAGAAAAACTGAATTCGATTAAACTGAGATGAATTTATCTGAATTCAAATGAGAGGAAAGAAAAGCGAGAAGCCTTTCAGATTCTGTATTTGTAGTATATGATATGACTACCTGTCTGTATCTCCTCTGTGAAGCTGTGATGGGGCCCTGAAACAGAACATTTTACACAATTATTTTACTATTTTCTATATATTTGTATTTTTTTTTCTATATATTTGTATTTGTTTTTCTATATTAAACGGATCAGGAGAATGTTAGTTCCGTCTCCCCACGTCATGTAAGGTTTTGATTTTTTGCGCTTCGCCAAAGGCATGATTTTGCCACAGCCATGCCATAGCCTTGTTTACTGTTTTTGTCACAGCCATATTTTTCACAGTCATGTTTACTCTCACTTTGATACTTTGCCAAAGTTTTGTTAATCTTTATTAGCACCTTGCCATAGTCTCATTTTTGCCACAGCCATACCACAGTCTTGTTAACTTTATAGCTTTGATACTTTGTTCATAGTTTTTGTCACAGCCTTGTTTTGATCCTGGTCTTCATCCACTCCGTTTGAGTGCTTTTTGTT